TGGCAGTGGTTTGCTCTTTGAACTTGCCATTTAGCTCCCAAACCTCTTGTTACCAGGCTAAGTAACATCATCAGCAGGTCTTCCGTAGAAGTGTCTTGTCCTCTTTAGCTTATCTATGTCTTGTGTACTGGTGTGGTCAGTTGGTCGCATCCAGGGATGGGATTCTACCAGTTCACACCTATTCACTAGAACCGGTTGTTAACATTCTAAGCAGTTCGGAGAACCGGTTATTAGAAGAAATTATTGGCCTAATCCTGTAAGGAAGGCAGGAAGGAAACTTTCTGGTGTTGCTTACAGAAACTGGCTCTCCATTAACCCTTATTACATTCTTGGCAGGACTAGACTTCCTGTCTCAGGAACTTCTCTGGAGTTATTTTTCCCTCCTTTGCTGGTACTTTGCTTGTGTGGAGTGACCATTCAAAGTTACAATGGCACTGAAAAAAGTGACTTGTGACCATTTTTCACACTTACGACTGTTGCAGCATCCCCACAGTCATGAGAGGCCAGGCGAGGAGATGAGTGCCTCGGTGTGAGTAATATTGAGTTGGCCACATCCAGCCAATAACATGACCACCAAGCCATGTCCACCCAGTCACATGACCACCAAGACACGTCCACCACCTAAGCCATACCCACAGAACCAGTTGTTAAAAAATTTGAATCCCACCCCTTGTCGCATCAAAGACCCAGTTCCATCTTCAGGATTTGCAAAAGATTTCAAGCCATTGCTACAAAATAAGAATTATTTGAGGGCTCTTTCAATAAATAGACAGCTAGATAAATCAATTATTATTTGAATCTTGTCTCATATGGTAAGATGCCTTCTAAATGACATATTGCCAGTTTTCCCAACATGATTACTTCCAGACAGATGGACTGCAGCTTCTATCATCTCAAACCAGGGACACGCTGACACATTGGCTAACATGGTCTACTGTCTCAGAATCTTAGTTATTCCTTTATTAATAACCAACTAAAATATATACGATAAGGTCTTTGAAAGACAAACTTCTGATGCTACTTCCTGATATACTCCATTAGAATTTTTCCTGCAGAAAATGAGGAAGCTATATATTAGTCAATGACCAGAGATGGATTTTCTAATAGCTGTGCCCAGGAAACATTTGATCTTTTGTTTTGTACAGAGATGTTACATATTAAAAATATAGCCTTTGCTTTTCTGCAGTTTCTGCTAGTATACACTATTAACAATGCTAATGAAGATCATTTTGCTATAAGCAACTGACACAGCATTACAAATTATGTGTTGATTTTAATGCAGACTGATAAATAATAGCCATGCCTCTGAAAGCCAGCTGAATTTTAAAAAAAAATAGTAGTGAAGATGGAACAGACTGGAGAGAGAAAGAGAGACAGGAGGGAAGGAAAACCCCATATTTCATAGCACAATGTTTCCATAATTGGCAGCAGTAGGGCTGGCAAGTTAATTAAAATGCAGTCTTGTTAGTAGCAACCTGCTAAATGCAAAGTGGAAGTAGCCATGCTGTTAAGCAAGGCATTTCCTTAAAGAGGATTGGTTATTACTCTCATGTATATTCATTGAGTCTCTTTCACAAGTAGGCCTTTTTACTGAAAGTAGGTGGTAAAAATTCTAAGCAAGGCAAGAGACAGAGAGCATTGCCTTCTAGAGCGATGAATGAAAGGTGTGGGATAGTTTTTTGGGGGAATTACACCTGAACACTGATGCAGCCCTCCCAGTGAGTTGTTTTTTTCATTATACGTCTTCTTTGTCTTGCTGCTTGTATGGAGCAAATATGTTGCAAGATATGTGTTTGCTTGAATGTGTTTTTTGTATTGGTATATCTTTATGTCTTTATATCATTTTTCTAATGAGCTCTCTATATAATATAACTTTTTTAATTTGCGCTGTCGTTGTTTTAAATAATCCTTTTAATAGTCATCCTGTAGTAACCATGGAAAATGTCTTATGTTGTTTTGCTATGGTTATTATTGTTTTGTTATGGCTGTACAAAATATACAATCCTATTTTTCTTTGCAGAAATGAAAATATTAATAAGAAGCAATGGCATTAACTGAAACTTTTTGGTTTATTTTTTATTTTTGGATATGCATTTCTATTAAAGGGGAAGGCATGTTGAATAAATAGAAATGTAGCAATCTTCTTTTTTTTTTAAAAAAATCCTCTTTATAAGTATAGCTATGATAGAGCTTTTTAATGTGTTTAATGGGAAATGACAAAAGGGAGAGCTTGTAACAGGGCAACCTAAATGTACATTTATATATGTGTGGGTATATATGTGTGGATAGGATTTTAATGTGGTCTAAGAAATGTATGCTTGAGGAAGTAGTGCAATTACAGTTTAGTTACATCATAGATGTGAAAATAAATTATCCTTCCCTATTCTTCTGTGTATTTGCTTGGAATGTACTGACTGAATGATGTTTTATGGCTGATGTTTTCTCTAGGATAATGTAATGGTATGTGGTAATGAGATGGGGAGATGGGGAAGACATATTGCCTAGGGAATTATCTGATAAGAGAGGCCATAGCCCAGAGCCACAAAATGGATGGAGAAAGAGACTCAGAAGAGACTGTTCTCAGGAGATAATGGGACATTTGTACATTCAGACTTGCAAGATTCTGTTAATGTAACCTTACAATAAAGTAGAATTAGTTCATTTCATTGTGTTTCCTGTTTGTGAAGACCGACAGGTATGTTCAAACAAAATCACAAAGACAGCATAGCCTAGAGGCATTTCATAGTGCATGCATGCAATTTCCACCGCTATTACCACTACCGCCCAAAAAACATCTGTCAAAGACCTCTATTTTTAAAAAATCATGTTTTGCTTGCATTTCACCTGTTCAGTATATTACACATGAAGGGAAAAGGAACTAGCAGAAAAAATGAAATTTGTCCAAGTAAAAATGTCACTGTTGAATGGCTTCCCAAATTTCAGGATGAATTGCCCTTATATCTTGACCCCTTAATCAGTACTTTTCCATCAACAGACACAGTTTGCATGGGCTTCACCAGCATTCATAAACATATCAAACTGTCTTTACACTGTTCAAACCAACTTAATTGGGTTTAAATTTAGCTTTCGCTACTGCCTCTTTAGTTTGTAATCCCTTTTATCCAAAGCTAGAAAAACTAGATTTGGAGGCTGCTCTTAACTAATTAGTCCTAGAGAAAAAATATCATGTATGTTGTTTCACTATTTTGAAGCCACAGTTGGCTGCCTCAATATTTTTCAGTACCTACTATAGACACCAGACTATATACTCTACAGTATCTTTTTAGGAGAAAATTCTGTTTTGCTATCCAGAGAATAGGGTAAGAATCTTCTGGGTTTAAGATACTGACAAATGAAAATCGTTTTATATTAGAATTTATGAGACCCTTGAAGAACTTCCAAAAGGGCTGGAATCTGTTGGATATGTTGTAGCTATTGAAGTTTTGTATCAAATATGGGATTGTATTAGATCAAGGAACATAAAATGAAGATGTGACTCCAAAGCTTAGACAAAATTCATTTGGAAGTTCCAATTTTTATGTTTAATGTGATAGAAAATAAACCATTAAATGTATGACTAAAATATTACTGCATCTGTATTAAATTTTAGTAACTTACATAATTTTAGTAACTTTTAGTAACTCACATAAGTTTAAGCAAAATGATGTTTTTGCTCTGGTCCTGCCTTTTTTTTTTTTTTTAGAATTCTTCCCAGAATACCAATCAAAGGCCAAATTCATCATTCAACCCCTAAATTATTGCTTTCCTCAAAATAATGAATGTTTAAGTCTTCTTCTAACTATCATTCCAAAATCAGCCTTCCTAAATCTGGTATACAAAATATCTGTTGATTTACAGTCCACATTAGTGTCCAGCCACACTCAGATTGGTGAAGATTTTAAGATTTGGCCCAATACAACAGGAAGACACCAGGTTGGGTAATACTATTTATACAAAAAAAAATAAGAGAAAAATATAGTCTTCTGCTCTCAGTAATGAACCAAGTTTCAGCTTAAAGCATAAATTATTTTCCTTACTTAACACATTCCAAATGGAAAGCATTGTATATATGTATTACTATAGGTCACACAGTCAGCCAGATGTTGTTGTTGTTATTTACACAACAATGTGAAATCATAATTTCCAGTTCTTTACCTAATGTTGGCCTTCATAGGTATCAATTCTTCCCAAGAACCTAGCATGCCATAATATATTGGCATAGTATATGTGCAGATTCAAGCCATTGTGGCCTTTTGTAATTGACACATGAAAATTTTTTAAAAGCACAAAGTGCTTATCCAAGATTTTTTGGGTATGATACCAGATGTGACAATAACCTTAGGGACCACCACAGCAGGTTTATGCCAAAATCTTATGTACCAAAGACAAATTCCTTGTGTGTCCAATCACACTTGGCAAATAAAGAATTCTATTCTATTTTATTTTGGTTTTCCAGATTTTGACACTTTATGATCTCCAATTCTTTGTCTTCTTTCTACTTTCTCCTGAAATTGCCTCATCAATTATCTACACTTTCTTTTCAACCACAGTTAAATTTGGTGTGTTATGAGCCCAGACTTAATCAGTTTCTATTCAGAAATCCCATAATCTGTTCCTTCTTGATTCCTTTTTCAACTATATGTTACCACATGTTTCATTACTGTACTGTGTTTCATTACTGGCATATGATCATTTTTACAGATGTTCCAATGAATCACTTTGGTGACTGTGTTATGATGATGATGATGATGATGATGATGATGATGATGATGATGATGATGATGGAGAAGAATTATACCTCTGTCAAAAGACTTTTATTGCAGCATTCCCAAACCTGATTCTGCTTACCAATAATAATGGATTTTAAATCTATAGAACTGAATCCAGTGTTTGTTCACCGCTTTCTGTAATCTAACATATTCCCAAAGCCAGGATGCCGCCAGTTTCCATGGCAACTGAAGAACTGTACTGTATGTGATTGTATTTTATTCTCCTTGTAGATGGAGGAGATCAAATTTAAAGACAGAGCAGTCTACATGCTGGAAAAAGAGTTAGGGATTCAAACTGGGCATACTCAGAGACTTCAACTCCAAAAGGAGGCTCTAGATGAACAGCTGTCCCAGCTCAGAGAGGCTGACCGGCATCTGAGTAGCCCCAAGCGGGAAGTTCCTCATCCAAGTGGTGCAGGAGACACTTCAGATCACTCAGGAAGTCCTGTAAGCACTTTCTAGTAGTTTTCCCTAAAACCACAAATTGTGCCAAAATCTTGATGAGTGATTGCCCAGACCAACAACATTGATTTTGATTTGTTTGTTTGCTTGATTGCTTGTTTGTTTTAAAAGCAAGTAGGGTTGAGGAAACCCAGCTCAAATGTAGTCAGATGACGTCTTGGGTTTCTGGTTTTGCTTTTATTTTGCCAGCTGATTACAAAAATTAACTACTTGCTTTTTTTAAGCAACTGTACCTTATCTTGAATGTGTGCCTAGTTTGACATTGTGAGACTCACAACACAAACATTAATTAATTAACCTATTAATAGCTGTCTGCTAGTTTTTATGGAGGCCTACAAATATCTGTGAAAAAGAAACAAGATGGCAAAACGATGTCTTAAATCTCATGACTAATCCTGATGGATTGATTGTGCTTTTGATGTTAGTCAATGTTCTAGACTCTAGAAAATAAATGAGGTGCCAACTAATATGCTTTTTCTTCCATACTTTAAAATTTCTTACACCATTCAATCTAAATTCACCTTTTATCTTGGCTTTTGATGTAACTATACCAACTATACCTCTTCCAGCTTCTCTGTTAATTTGCTAACTACAGATTTTTTCCATCATGTTTGCTAAACTTTTCTTTGTTGACTCTCATCAAGATTTCCTTTGTATTGCTGCTTAGTTTGACCAATAGATTTTTTTTCAAAAACATAAACATAGATATTGTCTCGCCTGTGTTCAAAGCCTCTCCTGCACCTGTTGAATGAAGAATCCTAGCCCTATTGAGTTTCTTTGGTCTGTAGATGCTCATGTTTGCTTGAAGTAAACTTTCCAAGTAAAGTAAATTAAAATTGCTACTACTGTAAATAGGAAAAACAGGAAGGAAATGTTATTATAACTTAATTGCTTTTTGCTCAAAATAAATGAAATTGCCTATTCTTATATCTATATTTAAGTTACCCATGTCAGTGCTCTGTTAAATTCACAGTTCCATGGGAGCCAAATGGATACAGTGGTTTGTTGCACACACTTAGTACACATTATATGTCAGTATTAATAAATATATTATCATAGGAAAATGATACAAGGCTCATCTAAAGTTCTCAATTCAACAGTGGCATAAATATGAAACACTGTAGTAATTCTCAATCATTTATTTCACATTTCCAAAGCAACACTTGTGAGTCTGCATTTATTTACACATTTTGTTTTCATTTGCCTCTTCTCTTGCATAATAGTTCCTTTCTTAATTTCTGTTAGTTTTATCTTTTAGTATTAAGGTAAAGATTTTTAGAATTAGTAATGGATGGAATCTGACAAGGAAGAAGATGGGAATTGGTAGAAAGTTCTAAAAAAGCTTTCCTCGTTGAACAGTTATTTGCAGTTGTTTTTTGTTTTAGGAACAGCAGTTGGACGAAAGGGATGCTCGGCGTTTCCAACTTAAAATAGCCGAATTAAGTGCCATCATCAGGAAACTTGAAGATCGGAATGCATTACTCTCAGAAGAACGAAATGAACTTGTAAGAAATTGTGTATTTTTATTTTTTATTTTAAAGAAAATCCTATTTGGCTAACTATAGATATGTAGGAGAAAAGCCAAGTTAGTCTCTTGGCTCTGGAAGTCAAAAATTAGGAGGATTTGGGTAGCATCTTCTTAAATTAATGCATTTTATGAAAAGGTATAAGATTTTGTTGTGCTTATGTCTTTTAATAAAAGTTGTTAGTCTGAAAAGATGCTTCCAGGCTTCTGGTTTCTTTTTGACTAAATTAATGAAGGTGTTAATACACTGTGGAAGCACAACAAGTTGACCATTGACCAAGTGTCCTAACCCCAGGAAGGGTAAATTTAAACAGACACAGTTATTCCTAGGGTGAAAGTAACTCCACTCAATCAGTTGGTTGGTAGGGGGAAAAAGCATATTCCAGTTAAGGTGTTTTGTATATTTTGTCCTCCAAGAAAAAGAGATGAAGAGGAAAAAATGCATGAAAAAGCAAGCCTATGAATATTATCAACTATGCTTCTGCCATGTGGATAGTAGATGACTTATTGAAGGACTGGGATGGGATGGGAAAATTTGACTCTTTGAATCTTACTTGATCTCTTTCCCAATCATTGGGTGAGGCCACTAGTAAGAGACTTAATACACAGATTCTATGCTGTATCTGATTTGGATGCCATCATTCATCCTTTGATATCTAAATTGGTAATTTTTTTAAAAAAGAAATTATCTTCTAATTATCACTTCTTTAATATAATACATTCTAACTGGACTGTTCATTTAGGTATATATGATTTAATCGTGATTTGCCAGTTGCCTGTCAAAAGAGGTTAAAAAATGAACTTTTGCAATAAATTGACACTTGAATTAATTTAACCAATTATTCACTGAGACAGAGTTATAAAATGTTCAAAAAACCATATTTGGGGATGGCAAGTTCATACTTATTTTATAAAGCAATTTCGAATTTGGGAGTGGGTGGACACAGGAAACAGAATACAGAGTTGGACTAGAAGATCTCCCTGCTAAAGCAGAAAATGCTATAACATTTCTGACAAATGATTGTCCAATCTCTTCTTAAAAACTTCCAGTATTGGAACACCCACAACTTCTGAAGGCAAGTCATCCCATTGATTAATTGTTCTCACTGTCAGGAAATTTATCTTTAGTTCTAAGTTGCTTCTCTCCTTGATTAGTTTCCATCCGTTGCTTCTTGTCCTGCTTTAGGTACTTTGGCGAACAGGCTGACCCCTCCTCTTCTTTGGGGCAGCCCCTTGTATATTGAAATACTGCTATCATGCCACCCCAGTCCTTCTTTTAATTAAACTAGACATTCCCAATTTCTGCTACTGTTCTTCGTATAGTTTTAATCATCCAGCAGAGGAAAGGAATAATGATGTTGTTGAGATATAATCTCAATTGCTGTGGTTTGTTTCATTGACTTTTTCAATGTGCAGCCACAACTTGAGCTAGTTAAATACATTTACATCCAGCCAACCATTCCTTAATGCAACTCTCTTCAAACTGACAAATTACACAGATGACATTCTCTTCCCGTATCTGAATAAAATTCCATTTAAAGGCTAGTTAATGGCATCTGTGGGGGTAAGGTTTATTTTTCATAGAGCTAATGCAATAAGCCATAGTGGCATATGGACGGGGGAGACAGAATGCATTTATAGAGGTCATTAAAGCAGCAGATCTGTAGCTAGATCTGGGACTATGTGTGGGATTCATTTAGTAGAGGAGGCAGCTGCAAAACTTTCTCTCATTTCTTAGTGAAATTTTAGCCGTGCAGCTGAATATTTTCCCCAACATATTTCATTCTAAAAATAGCGGGATAACATCTTTCAAATGCTAATGTTGGTATTCCTATATCACCCAAATTCATAATTAAGTATGTAGATCATAGATTGTTTTGCATACAATTATGAGTTCTGTCTCAGGAAGCAAGTAAAGCCATTTCTGTAAAATAGGTTGTGC